TACTACTTACTTACTTACTTATATATATATATATATATATATATATATATATATATATATATATATATATATATATATATATATATATATATATATATATATATATATATATATATATATATAATATATACATATATGTGTATATGTCCATATATTTATTTATTTACTTATTTATATTTATATTTATATTCATCTATGTATGTTTTAATATCACCATCAAAATCAGTGCTGAAATCCACTTTATCCCTACCTCATGGTATTGTGCATCTTCCATTCTCTAAGTCGTTACGAAAAACCTTTTCCCTGAAAATTATTTGTCTAATTTCCCTTTATTTGCATATCCCTGTCTTGGAGAGTAGTTTAAGAATTTGCTGATTCAAAAACAGATTAGAATTCATAAAACATCTGCTTTATAATACCCAGGATTCCATTTACAATGAGGTTTTTGTGATAAACAAGCAGTTCTGTAGGCAATACGCAGAAATTGCATCCAGGCCGACCAATTTGTATCTACCAGGGACCTTTTGCTCGATAGGTGCAGGCACTAATTGGAATCGGCAGCAAAGTGCGCGAGAAACTTCGACGCAGTTGTTTACTCAGTACAAACCCAGCAATTGCTGGCAGAACGGTGCTGCAGTGGTATATCGCAGCCGTAGTACTGGACCTTCAAATTTCACCGTGGAATCTAATGAAGTAATGAATTCCGTTTATTCCGGTAATCGACGCTTTGCTGCTTTGCAAAGGTTCATTCTTTTCACTTTAACACTTATCAAATAGCACTGCCGTGTAATAGTTCCAGATTCTGTTGTTAGTATGCATTCTAAACAAAGAAAAAGTCACGACAGGTTGGATCGATATGTATTTTGAAACTCGGGCCAGTTGTTTTTCCAGTCAAATTTTTTGAATAAAACAGTCATGGTTAGGTGTGGTTGACGAAAGAATTTTTTGTGATTTCAGGTTTATCTATTTTGTTGGGAGGTAGAAAATAAATTTTTTTCTTTTTTTGGAAAGAGGGGTCTTAGGGTAGGGAAGAATTCTGCAGTGTTTTACCATAAAGAGTGTAGGCAGATGTTCACATACGATTTCTGCGTTGCTGGTCGTTGTAGAAGTAAAATAGTTTTAGAATTTGTTAATTGATCCTCGTTCCTGTGTACTGTTTCGAGTATTTCAAGGCTACTGTTCCCATAAAAAAAATGGAAGGGAAAGTCTTTATACGAATGTTTTCACTCTATTTTCTATTTCTTATATTTCAAACCCACCTTCAAAACAATGTGACACTTTTTCTTGGACATAATAATGATTATTAGCGAAGAAACTTACCCTTCCTTTCTCTGTATGCCAACACAGTTCTTCGTATTTTGTGTCAAATTCATCTATTTATTGTGCCTTCCATATCTCACTCTGCAAATGACGTACATGGAGACATTGTGTATACGTTTTAACTGATGCACCTCTTGACGATACATATAGAGTTGTTCTAAATACAAAACATTTCACATTTTCTGCTTCATCCTTTTCATGGAAGTGGCATTTTTTTATCCTGAAAATGGTATGTTATAATATTAACCATCATGCAAACTTCAGTTACTTGCGTACAGATTGGCGTGGAATGATTTTAACTAAAAACATAATAAAATATGAGTCGAAATTTTTGGTGCAGTTGATTTACGCAATTTTTTATACGTACTTCACCAACAGAATAATTACTTTGGATTCCGGATGACTGTGTGATACTCGATATCTGGTTTTGCCCGAAATGACTATATGTTTTTCCAAAGCAAAGTTTCCTAATTTCTTCCTGATTTGTAATCTACCATCCTTTATATATATTTAGTTCGAACTTTTAAATTGTACTAGAAATACACAATGAAAAGAGAGATACTGAATCAAGGTCTTTTGCGACAAATCTGTATTTTTTGATAATGTCCTCGCGAGCTATTTATTCATAATCGTGTTTTACTTTTTTTTAAATCTGTTACACAACACTCATTTCCTTATTTTCCATCATCTCATTTAGTTCAGTTGATAGAGTACACATTATAGATTCACTTCCAAGAATAACGTTGAATATTCTTAACTGAAATGAAGTTGCAGGAAAAACTGATTGGTGCATTAGTTAATTTCTCTAGCTCTGTGGTGAAGTTTCGTATGTAGGTCAGGATTCTTTTTGGAATTTAACTTGTTGATGTTGATCAGTTCAGACAGCACAAATCTCTTGACGGAATGCAATTGAACGAGTACGAAACAGATGAAGTTCGACCTCTGCTGCCTTTGGATATTTCTACGGCAAACGCTGATATGATATCGTCTCAGTATTCTGGACCGTCTTTATCCAATCCTACAACAACAAATGCATATTTTTGGAAGCAACCAGCGAAGTTTGCTTTGCTCTTTAGCGGATGCTTTTATTACTCTAGAATAAACTTTTTAAATCAATTTGCTTTTTAGTTACTGGTCTCAGTGACTTGTCTAATCTTTCTCTTTAAACTTACAACTGTGATTTAAAGTTTTTCAGCATCTATTCATATAATGGCGATACTTATGGACTATCAGATACACAATCCGCTCGCGCTTATAACCTTTTAAAGCAAGATTACGAAATGGCTATGCAGAAGTTGAATTCAACTATGAGTTCTATAAAAACATTTTGGAGTCCTGAACTGAAACGTGAAAGGCAATTAAGAAAGGAGGAAAGCGCAAAACTTGCGGCTTTGCAGAAACAAGTTAGCAAAATTTTCTTGTTGTACGCAACTTTATGCGACATTTTCAGTCGCTATCACTGTTTTGTGCATTACATCGGTTAATGCTCGTTTGTAACGTCATTGGTAATTGGCTTCAGACTGGACCTCAGAACGGGTCTGGTTTTCGAGTTGTCGAATTGGAAATGGAACTTGAAAACTGTCGATGCGAGCTAGCTGAGAAAGATGAAACAATTAGGCGGCTCATGGAGCGCACAAATGCAGCTACATATCGTGATGGTGGTAGTCGTATGTCTGATCTGGAAACACGATGTAATCAGTTAGAATCCTTACTTGAAATCCGAGAAGAACAGATTAGATCGATGGAACGACACTTTTCCCAATTACCAATTGCATCATCTCAGGCTGCTAAGGTGTGTATTTCTTCAGTAATTTTCTTCTGACATCACCATACTAATAGTTATTCAAATAAGAATTACTATTTAGAAAACACTTTTTTGTATAATATTTTTACTTTAGGATCAGCGAATAGCAGACTTAGAAGATGAAATTGCGATGTTACAATCAGAACGAGCGGAACTTCCGCGTGATTTTACTGATAAAACTATAACTCCTCATGAAATCAATACAATTCGTATGAAAATGGAACGGAGTGAATTGGAATTGGCACAAAAGTTAGCTTTCTTTGGGGATTGAAAGTTTAATTCTATTAATAATTCCTGAAAGCACTATTTTGAAATGCATTACGCTGTTTTACTTTGCAGGATAGCTGAACTCTCTGCAGTCCAGACACGATTACAAGCTGCAACGGAAGCCATCGAAGATCTTAGGAAACGTGTTGAAGTTTTTCGTGAATCATCAGCAGCAAAGGAAAAACATGCAACGCTGTTGCAGTCTGATGTAAGCCACAGTGTTTTTTTCTCCAAGCTAGTTTTACAAATTTACTAGAATATGGCTTTCTTTGTTTTTCCAAGCTTATTAATGAAGGTTTTGAAAATTTTCAGATCGAAGCACTGCGTACTAAACTTGAAACCAAAAATATACAAATAGAACAAAAAGAAAAAACCTCTGAACGGTTGGAAGCAGATTTAGCGGTCGAAAAGAACAGAGTATCAGACCTTCGCGATAGCAATAGAGTATTTCTTTTCATCTTTAGTAACATTGGATTAAATACACCGTCCATTAAATTTCAAACGAATTATCACTAAATTTAAATTTAATTGTATGAAATGTTAATAAATTTGCATGCAGAATTATGAGC